TATGTAATTTTTTTTCCTAACACCAAAACAAAGTAATAAAAAGTAAATTCTTTCTTCCCCAATTCTAATGTTTTTTTTAAAGGGAAGTAGCTGTGTTTTCCAAATCTAGCGACGTTATGAGAACTAAAGGACAAAATGCAAATACGTTTCAGACACAATTTTAGAAATTTTATAAACGTTGATACGCGGTTTTTTTTAAATTTTATGTAATGTCCATAATTGAAAATTATTATTCTAAGTATATAAAATGAAAATAGTTTTAAAAGACTTTTAAATAGTAATTTTTTAACTTATACATTTAGACAGTGAGCGCTTTAATAATCAAACACTTGAATCCATCGAGTATCTTTTTTTTTTCGTTTTTATAATCCACCACAAACATTTTACAAACATTTTACAGACAAACATACATAATTTAACGTTATATATTAGATTGGACGACAAACATTTTACAAACATTTTACAGACGAACATACATAATTGAACGTTATATATTAGATTGGACGTTTAATATTACTACTTAATAGAAGTATTTAATAATACGTGATATGTCATCTGTTTTACATTTCCTTATTTGAAATATTTGTTATCGATTGCCTACTAACAAAATGAAATTGTTTTTAACTTAACAAAGTTTTCTGTGTATAGTTTTATTTTACATTAATAAATTACGTTGAAAATATTTTAAATTCTTGTTTCATATGACTAAACATTGACTTAGACAGCAATAGATTTTGAATGAGTTATATATATATATATATATATATATATATATATATATATATATATATATATATATATATATATATATATATATATATATATATATATATATATATATATATATATTCTACCACACCAAATTTGACGCACCTGGGGCGCCGGAAAGTGCTCTATCGGGCACTTGACCACTTTGTTCTCTCTCTCTCTCTCTCTCTCTCTCTTTATATATATATATATATATATATATATATATATATATATATATATATATATATATATATATATATATATATATATATAATTTGGGGTGATAGAACACGAGGGCCGGTGACGGTTGGCTGAAAAGTCCACGGAGAGGGAGTCAAAACTAACCTTGACTGACCTGCGCTTTATATGGGCTATATTACGAAAAATACTTTTGTCGAACTACCCCCCCCCCCCCCCTTGATATTTTGTGAGGTGGTAGGAGATTGTCTAGGTGTGTCAGAAAAAACTCGGTATATCCGGGAAAAATCTGCAAGTGGGTAAAAACTGACTAGTTGTATTTCACTAAATAATCTTTGTATTTTATGGGAAAATCAGAGGGTCATTTTAATGCGGATTATAGGGTATTTAAACTCAGTATATCTGACTAATTTTTTGCATGCTCTTAGGTAAATGGCTTGGCCTTTAGGGAAAACTGTCGGTTTGACTCGAAGCACTCGACGAGGGCTAAAACATGACCGCGAGCAAAAAATCTCCTTATTTGAGCTATATAACGAAAAAAAATTCTTGCTGAACGACCCCCTTGATAGTTTGTGAAGTGGTAGGAGAAAATCTGGGAAAACTTCGTAAAGTGGTCAAAAGTGACCAGTTGTATTTCCCTATATAATCTTTGTATTTTGTGGGAAAAACAGAGGTAATTTCAGCAGAGATTTTAGGGCACTTACGGTCTGCACATCTGGCTAATTTTTTGCAAGCCCCTAGATAAATAACTAGGCTGTATGGAAAAACTGTCGGTTTGATTCAAAGCCCTCGACGGGGGCTAAAATATGTCCACGAGTGAAATTCTTATTATTTCAGCTATATAACGATTTTTTTTCTTTTAAACGACCCCCATTGATATTTTGTGAGGTTGTAGAAGGACGCATTGGGGTGTCAAAAAATACTCGGCATATCTGGGAAAACTTGGTAAAGTGGTCAAAACTGACCAGGCGTATTTTCCTATATAATCTTTGTATTTTATGTGAAAAACAGGCTATATTCAGCACACATTTTAGGGTACTTCACCTCTGTACATGTGACTAATTTTTTGCATGTCCCTCTATAGATGTCTAGGTCGTATGGCAAAACTGTTGATTTAACTAAAAGCCCTCATCGAGGGCTAAAAAATGACCGCGAGTACAATTCTCCTTATAAGATATATATATATATATAAATATATATAAATATATATATATATATATATATATATATATATATATATATATATATATATATATATATATATATATATATATATATATAAATTGACGAACGATCCCCCTAATATTTTGTGAGGTTGTAGACGGACCCTAGAGGGAACAAAAACACTCTATTTGCGTCGGAAAAAACCCTTAGGATCGTTAGATTTGTCCAGATTCGATATTTTCTTATATAAACAATTGTTTGTGAAAAAGTATACAAAGAATACGTCATTCGGTCTATGTACACTGGAGGTTACGTATTAAAGTAATCATTTTTAAATAATTTGTATACTATTTATAGAAGAAACAAAAACCACAATGTATAGCATTCGTTTAAAAAAAATTCGTTATACATTTAATTATTTATTTTAACTGAAATTATAAAAATTAATTGTAAAAGTAAATTTAATATAATATATGAATTATACTATTATTGAAGCCATAACAGTTCTAATTATCTTGCGAGTTATAAGTTTACGAATATACCATTACTGTCATGACATGAAATTACTCAGACTGTTTAAACTTAGGCCGTAAACACTCCACATAACAGCCAAACACCAATTAATTAATCATTAAAATTCTCGTCAGTGTTTTGTAAACCTAAGCGAAGCTAATCATGTCTGCTAGCGTTTCAAAGGAGGATCCTTCCCTTTTATAATATACAAGACAGTTTCTGAAAATGTTATTAACAAAGAATAGATGCCCTTAAGCGCTAGCCTTGTTAAGTTGCCGCCCGTGTTGACAACCTACTTACTGACGCCACTTAAAATATTTTATAATAGGCAGTGAAAGTAGCCAGGAGTTTTTATGAAGGGGGTCTTCAAATTTTCCTTATATATATATATATATATATATATATATATATATATATATTGAAAATAGTATGGTAGATGTTTTAAATGTATAACCAGCAATTATTTAAGGAAGAAAAATAAAAAAATAAAAGCATATTCGAATGTAGAAAAACAGTTTTAATTATGCAACAGGAAAAGTGTTTATAGTTGTGTAAAAGAACCCACGAAACAATGACGTCACGTTAACTAATAACGTCATCTGCCGAATTTAGAAAAAAAGAAATTAACTATTTCATTCAAATTTGATTTAGATCTACGTACGCTATGAAAAGTATACAATACAATTTTTCCGACCTAAATTTATCAAATTTATTTTGTCTATTTGGATTCTAGATCTAGAGATTCTAGATCTAGACTAGATCTAAATCTACGCAAAAACTAGACGTAGACGCTAAGACGCTAACATCTAGATTTAGAATATATCTACTTTAGAATCTACTCCAAAAATAAATTTCTATATTAAACTATTTCAGCCCTTAATTATTTTATAAAATCTTTGTTTGTTTAGCTATGTGACTGGCTAATTTTGGATAAAAAAAATCAATTTGAAAGAATAGGCATATTCGCGTAAGTTAACTATTTTTTAAATACGTCTTTCATTCTCCATGTTTTACAAGGTGCCTAAATAGCTGAGATGATAGTGTACTTAATACTACGCAGGTAACACCAAGTCAAACTAATTTTATTATTATTTTTTATATGTGAATCTTCCGATTGTAGACTATAAAGAAAGGAACTACTTCATTCAAATTTGATTTAGATCTAGATCTATAGATCTACTTATCAAGACGTACGCTTAGAAATATATACAATTCAATTTTATCAGTCAAACTAATACAAATTACTTAAAAACAAAACAATGACCGTTGAATAGGGAGTCATCCATAAATGACGTCACGCTTTTTTTGACGATTTTTACCTCCCCCCCTCCCCTCCGTCACACGTCGTCACAAAAAGTCAGACCCCCCCCCCCCCCTAAAATGACGTCCCACCTCAATCTACAACCCCCCTCAAAATTGCAGTTGAATTTTTTAAAAACATCGATATTTTTTCCAAAATCTTGTCTAAACTATTACAATTTATTAAAACAGTTATCTAAAACGCGAAATAACGTCTAAAATTCGTTTTCTAACATTGCTTTTTTATAATGCAAAAATGTGACGTCGCAACATCTGACCCCCCCCCCCCCTCCCCCTCATCACACATCGTCACAAAATTACGGACCCCCCCCCCCCTCCCCCTACTAGTGTGACGTCATTTATGGAATTATTTAAGTCACTTAATCAGTGTGTGCCTGTGTTATGTTAAATGTGTCGGATTTTTAGCTAAATAGTTATTTCATTGCTTTGTCACTAATATAGTTCAGCGTGTAGTAAAGCACATTGCGTTTTGACCAATACTTTTTTCATAAATTATTTTCTCAAACAAGTACATTTCAAAATATATAGGCCTATAATTCACGTGAAACGGGTATCGATGGCTAGTATATATATATATATCACCCGTCTGATACCCCTCTGCTTTTGTCACTGCTATGAAAATAGAAGCTGTATACACATTTGTTAAAGAGCAGTTATTTACTTACAATTATTAAGAGGTCTGTTTAATTGCATTGTTTTATAGTTTATTATAATGGCAATTCAATGAGACTAATGTACTAATTAATGGAAGATAAAATGCGTATTGTTTAGCTACACTAAATGGGCTACTATGTAAAATACAGAATAAAATGTTAAAAAATAAACGTTGAAAAAAGTTATTAAACTTATTTTCTGATTAAATATATAGATTTCATTAATTATATCGTAGCTCAATAAATAAACACACATGAATTTGTTTTAGAATTACAGAGTACAGATTATTACTTTTATTCTACATATCTAAATTGATAAAACAAAATACGATAGCAAAGCTGGTATAGAAGAAAAAAGTCATATCTGTTTGTAAGGAAAAACGACTTCACTATAGGCTATGTTTATTGCTTCAAACGCTTTTTTGCTGCCCGGTATTTTTCCTCTTTTTCTGAAGTAAACTTCGCCACTACAATTGATGAGATAAACCAAACCCCGATTGGCACTGCTATCAATGGAGCGGCAATAGGTTCTGCTAAAAGTGCAAATGCAGATATCCCAAAAAGACCACCAAAAGTAGTAACACATACTGGCAAGCTACTCGGAGGATTCTTAACTATTTCAATATCTTTTTGTATTTGCAGCAGTTCAGCGTTCATTTCCTCTTTTGTTGAACTTAACCTTTTAATTTTATTCATAATAGAAACAATTTTATTTTTTAAATCCTTAAATTCTTGTGTTCCTTTATCCTGACAGTTAATTTCATCCAGCAGATGGTTCCCTTCATTTGATAGATTTTCGATAGAATTCACAGTCTCGTTGTCTAAATTACTTATAGCACGATAAACCTCACTGTTTAATAGACTTAACTTCTGTTGTATTTTTCGTTCCAACACGGGTAATTTAGCCTCTATGATCAATTTTTCTCTCGACAATACAGCGCGATCAAAATCTTCAGAACGATATCTCCCGCTCAAACTTCGAGTAACTTGAAACAAATCAGACACAGATTTATTTATTTTATTCTCCATTCCGGGATAAACCGTGTTGTAAAACAAAACTGTTCTATAGCTGCAAGCTTCTAAAAGATCATGAAATTCTTTTGGCGTCGTCTGTAGTTTAACCCATTCATCAAATGATACGCCACCGCCATTTAAATCATAACTTGTTCCATGTGTGACTACAACTATGCAATACTCAAAGAAAGCTTTACCAAAGCTTTCCTGTAAGCATTTTATTGTTTTGATATCTTCAATAGTACACTTTCCATCAAAAGTTATGACAAACAGAAGCGCGTCGAATCCATCTGGGCACAATGACATCGAATGGTAAATATTTTCTAAAGTTGTCTTCTCAGCAGTTTCGGTATCGCAAATGCCTGGTGTATCGACTACGTTGACGGTTATTTCATCTAACTCTTCGCATTCCAACTGAGATAATTTAGTACATGAAGTTTTGTCTGCTGAGCTTTTAAACTTTTTGTTACCTAAAATTGTATTTCCTGTTGAACTTTTTCCCACACCAGTCTTCCCAAGGAGAACAAAATTTATTTCTTGCTTTGGTTCGGTTTCAGTGACTTTGGTAGCCATTCGTACCTGTAAAAATACATTCAACACTCAAATAACATACTCAACAAGTTACTGAAAGGAGTTAGTTTTACATAATTATTATTAGTTTTTACTTTCTCATATATGGTGTATAGAGGAAACATTGTAATCGGAAATCGATATCGGGATTTTTACACCTTCCTGATTCGGAAAAATCTTAGTTTTGCTATTTTGTGAGTATGCCTCTGTATTTCTCTGAACACAATAACTCGAGTACCGTTTGATTTATGTTAACAAACTTGTATTATAACTAAATACAGTAAAATTCATATTGTTATCAATGTTTTAAAATAATTCATAAAATCTAAATAGGCGACTTCTCCGGGATTTATATCTTCATAATTTAAAAAAAAAAGATGCGTTCTTATTTGCATATACAAATTTTATTTTATCATTGTATTTTTTAAACAACTATCAGAGCTTGTATTTTCCCAAAGCAGTATATTCTAAGAATTTTTCGTTATTTTCTTGAAAAACACGCGATTTAGAAACAAACGTTCCTACTTTCCTGCCATCTAAGCCCTTTCTGTTATATACGAATTAATGGGTAGCTCTATCTCGTTTTATTTTATTGTACAACCTCACATACTCATCTTTTTCAAATCTTTTGATATGCCTATTCTATAATTAGTGATGCTATTTATTTTAATAAAGCTAACTACGTACATCCAAAAAAGATTAAAGAATTTGTCCTACGTAAACAATGTAGTTGTTCTTTGATGTTATGATCAAATATCTTCTTTTTGTATCATTAATTGAAATAAAGTCAAATACTTTCACATACATTACCATACCATGCAGGTAACATGTATATCATACTTTTATCATTGTAAGTTTAACAAAGACAAATACATGACTCCCTTTCCGAACCTCTGATCATTAACTAGTCAAATAATTTAAATTGATTAAGTATAGAAATAAGCTACTACCAAAGGTATAAAAAAGTATAGACAAATCACATTTTAACAGAATGCTTAATATGTTTCAATAAACAATGAACATCCTACGTTACGGTTTTAAATTTAATAAACCTGGTTTTATGTTGTTTTAGTAAACGTATTACTAAAGTATTATGTCATATAGTATAGTAAATAATCAGATAAATAACAACTTACTTTACTCAGCTATACTAATATGATACTATAAACTAAAGCGCACTTCAGATATAGCCTATAACCACTTGAAATAGTGTGATGTGAATCAGAAGTCTGTTATTTTACACAGCTTCTGACTGCTATTTATACCCCAGCGGTTAAAAGCCACATGTGACTCTCTTAAAAAAAGGGCGTGGTCTTGGTTTCCCCCAAGTTTTCGATAAGCGATTCAGGATCTAAATATGGCAGAGAAATCCCAGAAAATATGAACATGTTTTCCTAAAAATCGTATTGTGTTTTTCTTAGGTGAAGATCTGCCGCCTTACGGGTCTGATCGAGCTAGTCCTGTCTGCTAGCGTTTCAGAGGAGGATCCTTCCTTTTTATGATATAACAAGCTAGTGTCTGAAAATGTTATTTGCAATGAATAGACGCCCTTATGCGCTAGCCTTGTTTAGTTGCCGCCCGTGTTGACAACCTACTTACTGTCCCAACATGAAATATTTTATAATAGGAGTAGCCAGTAGCCAGGAGTTTTTTATGTAGGGGGTGTTCAAATTGTCCTTATCATATATATATATATATATATATATATATATATATATATATATATATATATATATATATATATATATATTAATATATTATAAATATCACAAATCACATTTTACTAATAGCCCGACAATAAAACATATCTTTTCAATTACACACATAATTGTGATTAAGGTTTAATAAAGAATTACAAAAGCATTGACAATAGGACATATATTGAATTGTGAAAACCCTCCACAGATATGCTTTCCAAACGAGACGTCTGAAATGTAATCGTAGGTGGTCAGTATATGGTAAGGGGAGACAGTCGGTGAGGACATGCAAGAAAGATGACCAGGTCAGGGTGTGTTTTCGTACATTAAAATCTTGGCTACTGTATTGAAAGACTGTGTTGGCTCGGTCGACTTCAACTGTCGATTATTGACAACCTACACTTTGCTGGTAAAATACATTACATAAATAACACGATTTGATAGAATAAGTAATCTGATTAAACATCGACAATGAGCGGCATATACATTTATGCCGAAAAACGTCATTACCAGAAACTCAAACAGTTTAGTGCAGGCATAGGGTTAAATGACAATATTTCGCTGAATTTCGATCATTCAAGTACCTTGGCGTCATAATATTTGATCACGGAACAAAGCAAGAGGTACTTGCAAGAACTGCCCAAACAATCGCAGCCATCAGTAAGTTATGAAGCATTTAGCAACGTCCTATCAAAAGCAATATCACAGCTGCCTGTTGCAGTTACTTAAATCAGCAGAAGACCGAGAAAATCCTCCGTGATGCCCCAACCATCCCAGGGGTTAAGAGACAATTGACTGATCACTTAACTACCCTGTCTCATTAACCCTACATTTTCTATCTCTGCCCCTCCTAACCGTTTAGGTCTTAGCGCATCAAATAATGGCTGTCTTTGTGTATTTCATTTCGTGTTTTCCCAAATTTACTTCACATGTCACGTGGGGATGGGTAGGTTTGCCTTGCATTTACCCCTCTTCTGTCACTATAGGTCTATATCTCTACCCAGCATACTCCTAAGTGTGGTATTAATATCACTCTACACAATTACGGTTTGGTCAGTCCATATGATTTATAGCCAACACAGAGTGACCATAGCGTCAGTTTTTAGATGTTTAACATTTTTTTAACTAAGGGTTTCATGGGGGGGGGGGTGTTTAACCCCTACCTATCACCTCCCTCCTCCACATGTCTACGCCACTGATAATAGGTTAGGTGAACGACATTCATTCCAGAATTCATGCTTTTTTTTATTTATCACGTACCTTTAATTATTTTCCAAGGAAACTGCTTTCAAGGAAACTTCATTGTCAAGCTAACACCTTTAACCTTTAAGGTTATTGCGTTTTATTTTATTCTATATTTAGTTTTCTAAGCAAGGTCTGTGGGAAACAAGTTATCTGCATACATCCATTGTGTATTTGGTCATGCATATATTATCATGAATAGATCGCTTGTTGACCATCGTAAATGATATTGCTGCATAATTACCTTTGTACCAATTTTTGTCTAGGATTCGCAATTGTTGGTAGAATATTGCAGATGTTAAAAATGTTTATTAAAATAACATGTATAATGTACTGATTTGATAATTATTAAGCAAGACTGCAATATTCAAAGATTTAAAAAATGCAGCCAAAATAATCATGGCTATTGTTGTATTTTTAGACTTAACTCTTTGAGTCTTAACTATATGCTAAAAATTATTAGATTTAGGTTTAGAAATAAACATTTTTTTGTTACTTTGATTTCCATCACCCGCCCCTGCCTTTAATAACAATATATTTGAAATAATAATTATTATTAACATGACCATTTAAGTTGTTTTAAAGATCGGTTAAATGACAGTGTACTATTAATAACTACCTTTGTGTTGAATAACGTCACGTTTGGTGCTAAAAATATTACAGTCAGAAAAAAACAAGTTTGTGCACAGCCTGACAGTTTCCGCTCCAGTTAAACATAAAGCCTATTTTCCCACTGACAAAGGATTTATTTTAAAAGAGATAAAATGTATATAATCCTGCGGATTTACAGAATTATGTTGAACTGACTTTTCTTGAAAAACCCTGTTTATGTTGTTGTTTTTTTTATAAAATATGTAGGGTATTGCGTTTGTTAATATTTTGTGGCGCTGAGAAGGTGACGTATGCCCACTTTTTTTTAAACGAAACTAGTTTAAAGGGTTAGCTCATAAATCGTTGAAAGGCTATAAAGACACACTCATGCAACAAGGTGGCCGCTCACTTTGTTGCCGTAAACACGGCCTAAGGGACAAGACAGCCACCCAACGTGGACAATAAAACTATCATCGTTAGTCGATAGTTATATTTGGTCACACTCTGGTGATCACATGACAAAATTTTATTTAAACGACAAAGGTCATTGCGGAGCAAAGTTAATCATATTGTGCACGCTAACAAAGCAGTATTAGTGGTGATAATCCAGCTATGGCTTCTCATCAGAGGCGTAGCGAGGGAGGGGGGGCGGGTGGGACATATATGGGTTGGAAAAATATATTGAAAGCTTGAGGGGAGTGCAAATCGAAATCCTGAGGGGGGGGGGGGGTGCAAATCGAAAGTTTGTCCCCGGGCGCCGGGAAGGATCGCTACGCCTCTGCTTCTCATTATATCGCAGAAAGGCATCAGAACTTTTATGACGACAGACCTACACTAGACAACAGCCAGCAAAAAAAGTTAACATTACGTTTGTTTTTATGATGCACTAAAAACATAATTTTTACATTACGATCCTAAGGCAGGCCCAATCACTTTTTGAAAATTATGTCAAGTATTTGAATATTAATGTGATTACGCCTTCCATCATCTCTAATGTTTTGTGCATTTTCATGTCTTATACATTTTATATACCGATAATGCTATTTTTTTAAAAATTAGTTTAACGTAGTCATTTAGTATATTTCACGATTATTATGAGTAAAAAGTTAATTTTTTTTAAAAAGCAAACAAAATCCACCTGACAATTAAAAATAAATGATAATTTGACTAAATCCTCCTAAATACAATAATATTTAGCTTTGAGATATGTTATCTGAAATCATTTAACCATGGTATTATTTGTCCATTATGTATTTTCTCATGAGATCTTTTGTCCTGAGATCATTTGTCCTGAGATCATTTGTCCATGAGATATTTTGTCTGAGATCATTTGTCCTGAGATCATGTGTTCTCTCACCTAGCCGACATACAAATAACTTTTGTAATGATTTTTAAAGTGGAGACAAATATTAAACTCTAGACATGTACAGAATCAAACAACTATTTACCATGGTAAAGGTATATTTCTTTTTTCTAAGTCGCATATAAATGCATATTTGAAATGCTATTTTTTCCACACCAACAACGGAGTTCGGCTGGACATACATGTTTACATCTTCCGTTTCAGAAAACTCGGCATAGGCCCTTGATTTGTGTGGCTCTATAAATTTACAGTTCACAAGCACGATTACGAAATGTGTACCAGTCAACAGTTTAAATTTGATTTGCCAAGCATTTAATTCTTAACTAATAGTTGTAAAAAGCGTTACCTCTTGTCCTAATGAATATTTCGGAATAGTTTTGTGTGATACCAATTTCATTTGCAGCCCAAATTTTTACATTTAGGAAACGTGCGTGTATATCGTCGTTAATTAGAGCAAAACTTGTTGTTACATTGGTTTTGTAATGCCATTTTCCTGAGACGACTTCCAAGACATAAAATAAATAGTCGCCTCCATGGACTACTTTAAGCAGTGGCTGTAAATATCAATAGTTGTTTAAGTAATCTTATTGACTATTAAATCCAAATTTGTAAAACTTATTACGATAATTTAACATAATCTTTAATTAGTAATTTGACAACTGACGCTACCTTCCAAGTGTTTGTAGATTTCTAGATTATCTAATTTGTTGCTTGGTCGGAATTGATAAAAGCTAAACTTGTTTAGTTCTGGTGCTTTATCGGGAACTAAACAAAATAAATAAGACATTAAATCATAGAAAATGTGGAGTGCATTGTTTGAAAACATCGTTTTATTTATTCAAAAGAAAAACTTAAAGTTTTAATATAATTCAGTTTAATTGAAGCGTTATAGAGATTTTTATTTCACTTTGAATAATCAATGTTACATGAGGAATTGCTCATGATATCTTAAATAAATATATAAAAAAAACGGTAATTACTTATTCTGTCTTTGATTAATATCGAAATTAAAATATCACCAGACCACTTACTGTGTTTATTTTTATTTCTGTTTCCAAATCTATGGGCAATATTATGAGCTACACTGCCGCTTGTGTCATAAAAGACGTTATATTAAGTTTCAGATATTACCTAAAATAAAAATGTGTATTTTTAGATTAACAATGTAGGTTGTTTTTATATTCTGTGAGTGGTCGGTTACTCTAAATCCATTTCAAAACATTGAAATAGAAGGATTTTGTTTCTAATATATATATATAGGCCTATATATATATATATATATATATATATATATATATATATATATATATATATATATATATATACACATATATATATATATATATATATATATACATAATGCATAAATGTCCTGCCAACTAATTGTACACAACCAATAATGATGTATCGCTGAAAACGTTATTAATTGTGTTCACTAATCATTTTCACTGTAAATTAAACGAAAAATTGACAAATAACAGAGCCCACCTCGATAAACGTTCGAGTTTCCAGCTGTTCCACGATAAATTCTTGAAACTTTGTGTTCTGTGTACATAATTCTCTCATTAGCAGGTCGCCTTCAACATAAGCCTTGGGATTAAGACACGTATCAGTTGTCCGAGACTCGGAAGAAATGATTGGTTCTAGATGGTCGTCAATTACTGCTCGAAATGCAACATGTACTCTTTTAAATATAAAGTACAAAGTCAAATATATATATATATATATATATATATATATATATATATATATATATATATATATATATATATATATATATATATATATATAGGCGAATGTGTGTATGCATACATTAAGAAATTAAGTTAACCATAACTTACGGTGCAGTGCATGAAGTGTTAAATGAATCCAACAGCCAAAACAAAGCAGCAGAGAAGCAACATACATTATGAGATATTCCAGGTCTTTTAGTTTTTCGTTAAGTGAGAATTTAAAATGACTAATAGATAACCACTACTTGATGCAGTTGAATGGCAATTTTAATTATTTATGTTCTAATTTATACTGCTGTGTTAATAACGGTTGGGTTATCTAACGAAAATATTTTCTAACGGAAATATTATCACACGGAAATATTTTATATCGGAAATATTATCTAACTGCAATGATAACATTATAACAACGACCAATTCATGTTACTGCTTGCCAATATAGCTCTGGTATGGCACCTTACTAATTAAACAAACATTTGTCACACTTAGTATGTTTCTAAAAATACGTTCAGGTACTTAACCTACTTATTTCGCTGGGAATTTCCGAAATTGTCTTATACAAATCCTCTTAACGTAACACAAAACAAAGCTGATTTAAATATATTAAAATCATTAATACGTCGTAGAATATTTTGGAAGAATAGAATTACATCAAATACGTTTTCAGAATGATAAAATGTATAAAATTCTGTTTAAATCCTTGACACATTATGCTGTACACAGTCACACATATTTTACCAACACATCCATATGCACGCTAACTCTATGTAAGGTATACTTTATATCTTTAGATAAAAAAATAAAAAGCTAATGTAAATAATTGTCTAAACTTGATGTGCATCAAGCGTGCACAAGCGATGTACAAGATGAAGTTCAATCATTTACACAATATCTGAATTCGAAGTTTTAAAGAAAACGGAGGCCTTTTGCATATTTCTTTTTTTTTAAATATGAGTAATTCTTAAATGTTTTTAAATAGAATGGCAATTACATCAACACAAAATTTCGTTTTAAATTGTATATTATAAAAAAAATTCTAACATTCTAAAGTTAGATAACAGTGAAAAAAAATGTAAAAGTCGATTTCCTCATAATCAAACAAGAGATTCAGCAAGTTTTTTCAATATAATAATGGTTTTAATGTTTAAATATAGTTCTTTGTAATTTAGCATTCGCTATAGTAAACTGAGAGCTACCTGCACATACATGTGGCTACAACGAAACATATATAATCATCAACTACCATTTCATTGAGCTAAATTATAAACGGGTGAGGGGGGGGGGGGTCTAGCATTTCTGTTTTTCTTTATATTTGTTTTTTTTTCTTTTATTATTAGCTGGACTATCTACTTAGTGACTTTTCTAGTAATAAACATTACATCTTAAGTTTATCAGATTCTATCAATAAAACGAAGACTTTATTTTCTTTTTTGAAACGAGACTTTAAAAAAAAAAGACTTAAATAAGATTTGTCACAATATAGTTGATCCCCTTCTACTTCCCAACACCTTATCTCCCTTGAATTGGTCTTTTAAATGTGTCTGCTGTCTTAACCTCACCCACTTCCCAACAGGAGTTGGCTGTATTTGTGAACAACAACTCCCCTTACAACACAATTAATTGTATAACTAATTATACTAAAATATTTCACCAGCTGGTAGCAATCAAGTTCCACAACCCTGTCAATATATTTAAAATTGTAATTTCTTCCTTTATCTCCCATAAATCAGAATTTATGAAGAGGCTGTAATATATTGAGATAATTGTGAGGTCAAGGGAACTCACTCTTCTTGTGTTGGTTATATTTATAATGTTGTTATTATGAGTGATGTCCCTTGTGTATTGTTCTTCCTCTTCCGTTAACGAATAAAGATGTCTACATGTTGGTGGCTTCTATCTCCGTTGTGTATTCCTAATCTATTATATCTGGCGACGAAGATAAATGATCCACTAGAAAGAGCACCTACTTACGCAAAAAAGAGGTTTGCTAGAGCATATTAGCTAAGTATTTCTAGGATAATGGCGCTGTATGGCCAAATAAAAGAATTTGATTCGAATGATGAAATCATTCATGATTATCTAGATAGGTTAAGTTTTTACCTTGAAGCAAACAACGTGACGATAGAAGCCAAAAAGAGAGCTGTTTTGTTAACAGTCATAGGGCCTAAACAATTTAGGCTACTAAAAGACTTATGCGCACCAGCTAGTCTAACTACCAAGAGCTTTAACGAGCTGAGCAAATTGCTAACAGACCACCATGCGCCTACCCCATCAAAGTTTCTATGTCGAGCTAGATTTGACAGTAGGACTCGTCAACCAAACGAGTCAATATCAGAATATGTTGCTGCTTTACGTCATCTAAGTAGATTCTGTGAATTCGGAGACACGCTGTCTGACAGACTATGTGAAAAGTTTGTGACAGGTGTAAACAGCCCTGATGTTCAAAGAAAGTTGCTGCTCGAGTCAGATCTAACATTGGAAAAAGCAATACAACTTGCAACTTCATACCAGCAGTCATCCGATGCGGCGAGATCTCTAACGTCTTCAGAGATCCATGCAGTAAACAGCAGGTTAGTCAATAAACACCAACCCCATCAGAGCATTTCACCTTATGCTAAACAGCCTGCACGTTTAAAGCCTAGATCTAAATCTAGTAATAATTATCAAAAATGTCATCGATGCAAAGGTCCCCATGCATCTCATCGGTGCAAGTTCAAGTCTGCAACTTGTTATAAGTGCAGTAAGCAAGGTCACATTGCTAAGGCCTGCTTTGCAAAGTCTTCGTCTGTTGCTAAATCTAGCCAGTCAAGACAGTACTGCAACCAAAGGCAGCACTATGTTAACTCTCACCAAGACTACCTAACCCAACCAATGAACCACTCTACCTGTGAAAATGCTCAAACTGATTCGCAGCCGGATTTCAGCCTGTTCTCTGTGAAATCAATAAGTCATGCTCCCATCAATGTACCAGTTAATATCAACGGTAAGAGCATCAGCTTCCAACTTGACACTGGAGCATCTCTAACAGTCATCACAAAGAAGGACTTTGACGCTGTCACAGGAGGATCAGTGCCTCTACAACCATGTCACAAGTGTCTAACAACATACACTGGTGACAATGTTCCGGTAATAGGAGAGTGTATGGTTCATGTAAGTTATAATGGTCAAAGTGTTAAACTTCCTATTCTTGTGGTTGAAGGAAATGGACCACCATTACTAGGTAGGAACTGGTTAAGTGATCTTAAGTTAAATTGGGAGAGTATATGTTCATTGAACAGTGCAAAAGAATCTAGTCTTACTTCAATAGATAAAGTTATATCTGAAAATAAATGTGTTTTTGGTAATCCAGGATTACTAAATGATAGAACAGTGAAGATAAGCATTAAAGACACAAATCCAAGATACTGCAAAGCTAGAGTTCCACCTTATGCAATGAGGAATAAAATTGAAAATGAGCTAAGTAGATTGGAATCTAATGGCATCATAAAGAAAGTAGACTATTCCGATTGGGCAACGCCCTTTGTGCCAGTGTTAAAGAAGGATGGTTCTATAAGAATTTGTGGAGACTATAAAACTACACTGAATAAGCAAATAGAGCTAAATAGGTACCCTATACCTAACATTGAGGAAATTTCTTTGAATTTGGCAGGAGGAGACAAATTCACTGAATTAGACTTTAGTCATGCTTACACTCAACTAGAACTGCATCCAGATTCAAAAGTCTATACGACAATAAACACACATAAAGGACTCTACCAATATGAAAGACTATGTTTTGGCATATCATCTAGTCCTGGAATTTTCCAAGCTGTCATAGACAGTATTTTTAAGGATATTCCAAATTTTTGTGTTTACTTTGACAATGTGTACATAACTGGTAAGAATGACACTGAACATCTTAAAACACTTGATAAAGTATTGAAAATAGTTGGTGAAAAAGGTTTAAAGATAAACAAAGATAAATGTCAATTCATGTTGACAGAACTTAGTTTTCTTGGTTATATATTGAGCAAACAAGGCATCAGACCTCAACCTGAGAAAACAAAAGCCATTAAAGAAGCACCCAAACCTGAAAATACCCAACAACTAACAGCTTTTTTGGGCTTGATAAATTACTATGCAAAGTTCATAGGGAATCTGTCTGGTAAACTATCACCACTGTACAAGCTGCTACAGAAAAATGCAACTTGGCACTGGGGTAAACAACAAGAAGCTGCTTTTAATACAGCAAAAGAGGCTTTGTCTTCTGACACCTTACTAACTCACTATGACCCAGGGAAAAGACTTATATTAACATGTGATGCTTCACCAGATGGTGTAGGAGCAGTCTTGTCCCACATGGATGAGAAGGGTGACAGACCCATTGCTTTTGCCAGTAGATCTTTGAACCAGGCTGAGAAAAATTATTCTCAGTTAGATAGGGAAGGCTTAGGCATCATTTTTGGTGTTAAGAAATTTCATAAATTTCTGTTTGGTAGGAAGTTCACCATCTTTACAGATCATAAACCATTGCTAGGTTTATTTGGAGAAAACAAAACCCTACCTGAGCATGCCTCACCAAGAATTCAAAGATGGGCTATCACACTAACTGCATACAATTATGAATTGAAATACAAACCTGGATCTGAGAATAGTGCAGATAGTCTTAGTAGATTACCTTTAAAAAACCAAAGCCTTAGCTATATACCAGAAGATGTATTTGTTCTTTTCACTATCATGGATAACTCCAATATAAATGTGAATGATATTAAAAGAGAAACAAAAAGATGAGTGCTTAATAAAAGTATATGAGCACTGTAAAAATGGTTGGCCTGAAGAGTCAGTGAATGATGACTTAAGGCCATATTAAATAAGAAATAAAAACCTTTGTGAAGATAATATAAAAGATGGAGAAGATGCAGTCCATTATCAGTCAGAGTTGCCTAAACAAAGTATTTGTAACTTAATAAATGATTATGGTGATATGGCAATTTCAAATGCTTTAAGTAAGAAGGAATGTGATCATCAAACAACTTTGCTAACATCATTAGCACTTACAGAAACTAAAAGAAACTAAAAGGGTAACATCAAAAGTAAATACCAAACAGAAGAAGCTAAATGTGACAATGAAAGAGTAAACAGGTTATTAGCCAAATACCGCACAACTCCTCATATAACAACAGATGTTGCACCATGCGAATTGCTATGTGGTAGGAAAATTAAAACTCATCTTGACCTACTACATCCAACTGTTCAAAGGTCTGTTTCCCAACATCAACATACACAAAAAGTAAATCATGACAAAACATCCATTGAAGAGAATTTGGATATAATGAGAATGTGTATCTAAGAAATAATGGGAGAAAGGAAAAATGGATACCAGGTCAAATTGTTCAATGTACAGGACCTGTGTCTTATAAAGTAAAAACAAATGATGGACTTATTGTCCGTAGACATGCAGACCAGT